GACTGCTTCATTTGTTACTAACCTGGTACTACTGGCTAAAGAACCAAAGGCTTCTGAAAAGGAAAACAAAGTCAAACGTAAAATTATGCCAGAAAATAAAGAAAAGTACAGCACTGTACTGTGTAGGGGATGTTAGTTGTCCTTAACACTAAACTCTCTTAATGAGTAATACCCATGACAGCATCAAGTAAGACAATTAAAAATAAATACTCATGACTTTTTAAAAGACATAGTCTAAATGCTTTTGAAATAAATATGGAGAAATAACCCTTCCCTCCAAGCAATCAAAGCATTCCTAATACAAACAATTATGAGGCGTCTCTTTCCCCAACATTAAATTATACTATAAGATCACTGTACTCAAAACAGAGTTGTACTGAAATAAGGACAGACACTGACCAACAGACTAGAAATCAGAGATCAGAGACAGATTTCTATGTATATACTCAGCTAGTCTTCAATAAATGAGCAAAGAGCATGAAGGGAGCAAGGAAAGTCTCTTCAACAAATGTTACTGGGAAAACTAGTATTATATGGAAGAAAAATAAATTTGGACTCTATCTCACATCATCAAACAAAAATCAACTCAAAATGGATTAAAAGACCTTGATATTAGTGCTAAATTCTTAAATTATACTTTGAAAACATAGGCAGAAGTTTTCATAACATTGAATCTAGAAGTGTCTTCAATTATTTGAATTCTACTTGCCAAGCCAACAGAAGGAAAAATAAAATGGGACTATATCAACTTACGAAGCTTTTCACTGGAAAAAAAAGAGCAGTGACCAAAATTAGAAGAAACACCATAGATTGGGAAAATATTTGCCCCATCACTCATGTGCTAAGGGGTTAATGTCTAAGAAATATAAAGCACTCTATAAAACAAGAAGGAAAAAACAACAGCCTCATCAAAAAATGGGGAGAACAGATGAATAGAAACTTCCTTAAAGACACACAAATCGCCAATAGGTAATTGAAAAACATATTTTTTAACACTTATCAACAAGGAAGTAAGTTAAAACAGCAATGACATATCGCCTGACAGACACACCGTGAGACTGGCCACACATCATAAAAAGCAAAAGCAATGAGTATTGGCATGGAAATAGGAAAAATGAAATGCTCATCTACTGTTGGTTTAAATGTTGACTGGTTCAACCTTTCTGGAAAGCAATAGGAACTCTTCTCAAAAAATAAAGCATTGATCTCTTGTACTCAGTGTTGTTGAACACAGTGGGTAAGGCATTTGTCTTGCACAGGACCAACCCGGTCAGCCCAGGTTCAATTCCTCTGCCCCTCTCGGGGAGCACGGCAAGCTACTGAGAGTATCTCGCCCGCACGGCAAAGCCTGGCAAGCTACCCATGACGTATTTGATATGCCAAACACAGTAACAAAAAGCCTCACAATGGAGACGTTACTGGGCCCGCCCGAGCAAATCAATGAACAACGGAGTGCAGTGTTACAGTGCTACTTTATTTATACCTGGTCGAGGAAAGATGTCACTGGTAGTAGGATTGACACTGGAATACATACAGTATGTATTCTAAGACTCAACTATGAAGAACTTTGAAAATCATGGCGATAATCTTTCCAATAAAACTAAATATACATAGGCTTATGTACAATAAAAGAAAACTACACATCAAACTTCCACATGATTTACAAATTCCACTTCTTGGCATCTACTCCAAGGGCTCAAAACCCCTATTCTGAAGACATTAGTGCACCGATGTTCAATGAGGCACTGTTGCAATAGCTGCAATCTGAAAATAACCCGTGTACAGGAACAGAAAACTGGATCTCTGGCCTTGTACTACAATTTCCTTATCCAGTTGTAATACAAGGCCAGAGAGATATAGTACAGGGAGTAAGGCACTTCCTTGCATGTGGCCTAATGGGGCCTAATCCCTGGCACTCCATGTGGTCCCACAAGCTCTGCTAGTAGTGATCCCTGAATTAAGAGTAAGCCCAGCACATCACCAGGTTTGGCCCAAAAACAAAAAATAAATAAAATAAACTGTAGTACATATACACCATGGAATATGAGTCAGCTATCAGAAAAGATGAAATCATGCAATGTGCTGCTATGGAACTAGATCTGGAAAGTATGTTGAGTAAAGAAAGTCAAGATGGGGCCGAAAAGATCAGGCAGGGTGCTTGCCTTGCACATGGTCAACCAGGGTTGGATTCCCCAGCACCCCATATGGTACCACCAGGAATGATCCCTGAGCATAAAACCAGGAGTAAGTCCTGAGCACTAACAAGTATGGCCCAAAAACAGAAAAAGAGAGGGACAGACACAGAATGAGCTCTCATATAGTAGGACATAAAGAAACATATCACGGAAATTGCAATTGAGGAAAGGTCAACAGGGCCTGAGAACTGCTCTATAGAATTGAGCTTACTATGCGGGAGGGAGAAGGAAATCCTCTGGGGGAGGGTGTGATGTTAAAACACTGCATGCATTAACAGTATTATAAATAACTGGTGCTTAAATTTTTAGAGCGCTTTTAAATTTCATACAATTTCTGGACTTTAGGAATCCTATTCCCTACAATCACCTACACAATTCTTATTACCATATGGCTCTTGCTTAGAACCCAGCACTCCAATTCCTCACACACAATTAAAGAGGAGTACAGTGATTATTAGCAATTTCTAAAATTTACAAATCTGATTCACTACAATCATTGACACAATTTCTATTACAATATGGCTCTCACTTATAACTACACACAACTCCACACAAAACTAAAAACTATTAGAGTGATTAACAACATCATACTCAAAAAACAAAATTTGGTCTAGTAAAGATTTATTTCACCAATAATAGCTTAAGCTAAGAATTTTATCATAAACATCTTAGAAGAAAATGTTGAACACTTGAATGAGGCAACTCAAAAGATGAAAAGAAAACTTACTAAAAAAGTTTACCAAGTCTTTTTCTTTCAATGTACCTGCTTAAAATGTACCATAAATGTCTTCTAAATTTTGTTATTACATTCTCTACATGCAAAATAATATATGGCTCTAAAGTTATGTTTTTACAAATCTCCCGATAATATTTAACAACATCATAGAATCAAATACATGTCCCACTGTAGCAAGCTATGTTCAAGACATGTTGGCTAGGAACTAAAAATGATAGTATCTCTAGGAACTAAGAATGATACTATCTCAAACTATCTTGTTACCTTGTCAAAGTAAGTATAACATAAAAAATGAAATAGGACAAATGGTCAAAGGAAAAGGAAGGCAAGTTTTCTATCTAATAATTGAAGTGTGGTTACTAACAGAGGAAGATAAGTGTTCGTTCTGGAGAACTTCATTCCTAAAAGTGGAAGGTTCCTGCTGGTTGTACCAAACTATTTATAGACAATATGAATTCATTTTTATTTTTGGTGAAACTTTTAATCATTGTTTAAACCATAGTTTTGTACTGAGTCATTCACAAGACAAAATAGAATCACTCTTGAACCGCAAACTGATAAATTTCAAAATCAAAACTTAAGTTTTTTATTGTGTTGCGGTTCAGTGATAGAAAACATAACTTTTTTTTAGTTTAATGGTGGCATAGTACCCTTAAGCCCTTTATCCTTTGGCCAGCATAGACAACTCACACATTCCTTGTGATGCAAATTCCTTGTAAACACTGGAATAGGCAAATCAAGAGAGCAAATTCTCAGTCTGCCTCAAATTCTGATGGGATTAAAGAAACTTTAAACTTGTTTTATTCCATTCCACCCTTCCCACTTAATGGAAGGTTCCAGTATTTCCTGAAACGATAGTGCTCTGACCCAATATGGACAAGTCCATAACTGAAACGCAGCTATTAGGCAAGAGAGAGTACTACAAGAACATATCAACCGGCAAGATGCCACAGAGGTCTTGTGCTGTGTCCTGGTCCCCCTTACTAAAATCAAGTTGCTGCTTAAAACTGAAAACTAATCAAGCAACCTGTGGCTTGTACTTCAGATGTAGACCTTCTGAGAGAACTATTTGCAGGCCAGGGTAAGTTACATAGCTCAGGCTTCACAGGAGAGGGGGACTCGCTGAAGTTAAAGATGAAAACTTTTTCCCCTCTTACTACCCAAATTAGAAACCTTAGAACGTTCACAAATAAGAAAATTGACTCCCAAAAGGGGAACCTTTGCCACTGATTAGCTGAAGAAACTCCAGAATTTCCCAATCGAATACCCAGGCCCCATTGATCTCATGAGTCCGTCCCTTAAGTCAGCGGCAGGGAAAGGATCGCTACCACTGGTTCACAAAACATGTGCTGTCGGCTTCCAGCTTCACCAATCCACTAAGGAAGTACTGTAATATTGCCTGTTCTACACACACACACACACACACACACACACACACACACACACACACACACACGACAGTTGGTGATTCCTCACCCAGTCTCGGACTCCCACGCTCCCCTCCACCCCCAACTCTTGCAAAGAAATGTTACTTGGAAGAGCACATGGAGAGAAGCTTCGGGGCGGAAGGGTGGGGAGGCGGGGAACACACGTAGGCGACTCTTCCTAAGATTTCGGGGAAAGTAAAAAGACGGGGAGAACCCCCTGCCGAGGGGGGGCCTGTTTTTGTTCCTCCGATTTCAATGTCGGTGGATGGGCTCCCAGGTAGGAGAACGGCTAAGGAGAGCTGCGATCCCTTAGCCGGCAAACCCCGGCCACTGACAGGGGTGGGAAGAGAATGAAATTGCATTGCTCAAAGGTCGGGGCGCACAAGTTAGACAAACAACAAACGCTCCGGGCCGCTGGGGGTCTCCCCAAGTTGAGTTGGGGGGTCCTTCTCCGGCCGGCCCGGCCCCCGGCCCCGCGAAGGGAACGAGAGAGGGATGGAGGGGGAAAAGGGGCGCCCTTCCGCTCCCACGCCATCTCCCCGCCTCGGCCTGGCTGGCTTCTCCCGCGGCTCCCGGGGAGGGGCCGCGGCTCGCGGAGCACTCGCCGTCCCCGAGGCCGCCGCGGGTGGCGGGAGCACTCACCAGTTTGGGTTTGTTTTTCGTTTCCTCTTCGTTGACGGCCCGGGCGCCCAGGCTCCGCTTGTTGCTCCGGCCCCCTCCGGGCTCCTCGCCGCCGCTGCCGCCCGCTCCCGACGCCGCCGCGCCGGGCTGCTCCATCGCTCCCAGGCCCCGTCACCTGTGCCCGGTTACCTCCCGTCGGCTGAGGCAGCGCCCCCCCCGGGGCGACCCCCTGACAATCGGCGCCGAGCCGTCAGCACCGCCTTCCCGTGTGGAACGATTCTCGTCCCGTGCAGCCGCGGATATGGGGCCCGCGGAGCTGCCGGCTGCGAGTCACTCCCAAGGCGACACGCCGTCGCACTCCTCCGGGACAAGCCCGGCCCCTCCGTGGCTACAATGATCCCGCTCGCCGCCGCCCTCAGGGCGGTGTTTAGGGTGGAGGAAAAGTTGGTGCCTATCACTTTAAGAAGGCCTCCGCACACGTGATTCCCCGAAGTGCCGGCAGCTAGCAGCGCGCCCGCCCGCCCGCCCGGGCGCTGAAAGCCGCTTCCTACTCCGGGTGCCAAGGGAGCACAGCTACTGAGCATGCCCGGCGCTGTCAGCCAGAGGCTCAGAAGAGGACTTTAAGCCGGGCTTAGTCACCCGTTTCACTTCCTGAGCGCCCCGTGAAATCGGAGGGAACTAGAGCTGAGACAGAGGGCGGCCCATTTGAGAGTCGGGGAAACTAAGTCCAGGGAGGATGCACATGCAAGTTTCCGTGGCTGGCCTCGGCGAGCAGCAGCTTCAGTACTGTAGGCCAGAAAGAACAACTTTTCCCCAGCATAGAACCGACTTTGCTAGGGTAGTATGGTCCGGCTTCCCTCCAAGGGAAGGGAAAATCACCACGCAGAATGCTGACTAACTGCCTTAACCGACTGTGTGTTCAAAGTGGAAAGGTGATTCCACTTTCTGTTGCGGTGATTGCGTTATGACCCAAGAAGTACTGACGTTCCTTTATTCCCTTGTTGTTGAATAGTAAGTAGACGCACATGCCCAACTTTAGTCTCAAGGAACTGTTAGGCTCTTTAACCAAAGCACTTAGATAAAACTACCAACTGGATTGCGTGCTATTTTCAGTTCCCTGAACTAATTTAGGATTATTGAGAGGGGTGCAAAAGATCATGTGGGTCAGAGCTTTGTTTAAAATGTAAATCTCAAGACAAATACAACGAGTTTCTATGCTACTACCTCAGCAGTAAGGCATCACAGATATTGTTACAATTTACCCCAAGTCGAGGAAAAATCTCAACCTGTATTTCTTCCACCCTTTTAAAACAAAATCCTTTGAAAATCATGTTCAAACTGAAAGCATTAGAGGCGTAGGATAGGATTTGAATGAAGTACCTTCATCTATTGAGTGCATATGCTAGAGAAGCTACCTAAAACGTAAACTCAGATTCAAATTCTCTAAATATGTCCATATCCCTGTTACTGAGATTTATTTAGTCCATGACTCCTTTTGTCATTCTCCCCTTCTACCTAAATTCTGCTATGCTGGATCCAATTTGTATCTGCACATTTTATGGAAGTGCACTAGGATGGATTTGATCATGCTTTCATCTGAGGAGGCCATAAACTTAGAACACGAAATTTTAAACAATAGATAATGTGAAAATAGTTTTAATCGTAGCTTTGTCACTATCATTAACTTTCTTTTTAATCATGCACATATGAATTCTCTGCTCTGAAGATGGTAGACTGACTACAAAACAACAGTAGAAAAGAGGAAATACATACTCCCAGTCGGGGTGAATACGAAACACTTAAATAATTTGGCTTGGTTGAAATTCCTATCCACCTTTAAATTTGATAAATTCTTAAAAATTCACTCAATATATTCACACACGGTAAACATATATGATTTAAATTACTTGAATTTCTTACCCCCCTTTTTAAAAAAAGATGAGTGAAATTTGATGCTGCAGAAAGACACAATCTGTGAGCCACCGTTCCCATGTAATCATTCTTTGAGAGATACGGGTGTGGACTATCATTGAAGGTCCTCCAAATTCCAACAGTGTCAACAGTTTGGTAGATGTTTATTGAGTTTCTTATGTTCAAAGTATGGTAACATAAACCATACTATTGTGGCTTATGTTACCATCGCTGCCCTTTAGAAACTTAGTCAAGAGGTTTTTGTCCATGAGATAACATTATTAATAGTACTGTAAACCACATAATCTCAATCAATTAAAAAAAGTATAGTAAAACTTAGACTAGGATCAACCTGATAGTACAGCGCATAGGGCATTTCATTCATATACAGCTGACCTGGGTTCACTCCAAGCCCTTGTACCACAGATGGTCCCCTAGTCCCCACCAGGAGTGATCCATGAACACAGCCAAGAGCACTGCTGGGTATGGCCCAGCAAAAAAAAAAAGTCTATGGGGTGTACTTAGGGTTTACTCCTGGCTCTGCACTCTGAACTGCTTATCAATACAACAGACATTGAACAAGAAGCACCCACTTGAGTGTCACAAACTCCAAGACACCTTTTCGAAGAGAATGATGTTTGAGTCAAGTCTTGAGGGTCTAATCAAAATATTCGTTGATAATTTGTTAGGTACTGTGCTGAGAATTATGAGTACAGTGGTGAAAAAATAGATATGTTGTGCTATCATAGGGCTTTTCAGGCTCTAAGGAAATATATTAAAGTACACATTAAAACAGTATTGAGAGGCCGGAAAGATAGTACAGCAGGTATGGGTAGAGCATTTGTTTTGCACACAGTCAACTGGGGTTTGATCCCCCGCCCCACCCCCACTCCCCATCCTATATGGTTCCCCTAACCTGCCAGGCATGATCTCAGCATGAGTTCTGAGCACTTGGAGTAAGCCCTCTGTACTGCTGGGTACCCCTCCCACATACAAAACAAAACAAAACAAAACAAAAAGAACCAAAAAAAAGTCTCCTGAGCAATTACAAAGTAAAGAAGAAAAGTGAAGTGTATCCCAAGCAAAGGAACTGAAAATAAGCATGAATAATATCCACACAGTTAAGAAGTTGGGGGCTATTGTAAAAGGAAGCAGCCGAATTTATAAGCGACTTCAAAATCAAAAAAGTTATTACTTGTAAGTGTCATCTGTATGGAATTAAAGCTGTGAGTATGTTGTCATGCAGAAGACTTCTGCTTAAAGAATGGAAGTAGAACTGAAAATGGGTTGGCGTTTTTTTATTTGAGTTTGAATTTCACTGTTTTCAGTGAAATATAAGCTACACTGAACTGGAGGTGTGTGGTTATTTCGGGGAGGGTCATTTTCTGTTTGTTTGGTTTTGTGTGGGTTTTGGAAGGGCCACCCCAGCTGTGCTCAATCCTGGCTGGGCACTCTGAAATCACTCTAGATGATTCAGTACAATATCCCTCCACCTCCACTCCCCAGGGCTCTCAACAGGTGAACCATTGTTGGCAGAGACATTTAGGACTGTTGTTAAGCACATCAACATTCAATAGGTATTTTAAGATCAAAGGCTGGGGTATTTTACATAACTCTCAGAAGGCATCCCTAAAATAGAGAGTGAAGTCCTGACAGTTTCCTCATTTATTGCTGCCTCAATATCTAAAAGACCCTAAGCCTTCTTATTCTATGCTTGCTGGGAGAAATTTGCAGTGGCAGATATGTGTCATCTATTCTATTGTTGCCTATTTTATTCTTTCCTGGGCGCATGTTTACAAACTCTTTGCATTCTAATACCTGAACTATCTTACTAAGGGGCATAGCCCATCCTGGGAGGGGTGTTTTAGCCTGAGGATTTCCCACAAATATCAACACCATCTTAATTCTTGATTTTTTTCAGCATTTTGTTTCAGCAAAATAAACAGCAGTTAAAAACAAACAAGTACCCAATCTTTAGGAATCAGGATTGTGGTCTACTTTAGAAGTTAGTACACTGAAGAACACTCAGTCAACTATTTATGAACCAGGTGCTTCACTGGGACTGATCTTACTACACCTACACTCCTTTAGTATAACTTTAACTTTCTTAGATACACAAAGAAACTGTGGATATCAAGCCTCCTACACCTATACTCCTTTAGTATAACTTTCTTAGATATACAAATAAACTGGTGGATATCAAGCCTCCTTTTTCTGATGCTGAAGAAGGAAACACCATCAGTTTTGATATCAAAAGTGTATATTAGACTAACTGACCTTGCAGACTCTACCTCTCATCAAATTAGCATCCAGTTAAATTTAAAAAACAGTCCAGAAAAAGAAAGACAGACGGTTGCTAGATTATACCTTAGTTAAAAGTGATAGTAATGCCAAGTATTACTTCAGAGACTTCTGATAATTCCGTAGTATGCCTTAAGTTTTCTACTTTTTTCTTCTGCTGAATTTTCAGATCTCAAGAATTTGCACCATTAAAAGGGAAGTTAAAGGAGACTTTTAAAAAGTTAAATTTAACCAAAAATAGCCACCATCAGAACCATGGAAAGGTATTTATGAATTAAATACCGTATGTTCTTATTCCTAAAAATGAACAAGTATTTATTATACTGGGACTAATACTAAATTATACAGATAATGTCTGCTAAAAATATCATAATTCTTCCTGTAGAATCACCTGTTTTTCAAAAATGTATTACAAATAACAGGACTTATGAGGAAAATATGGTTAAGTAGGAGCATTTAATCCAGTATAATTTATAACCAGAGTAGCAATAAAAACAATAACCATCCAAATCAAAACACTCACGTTGTTAAATCTCTGCTAACCTTTGCACTGGACTTCATAGTCAGAAATGCTTGTGACCTGCCTCTTTAATCCTCTAAGACTTTAATGACATTCACTTTTAAGAAATGCTATTTTTATGGAAATAAATATCTAACTGAGGAGTACTCAACTTTTAAAGATGTGGTGCATGGTCCTCTCAACCCTATTATTGGTACTCAAAACCTCACCAGATGATTAAATGTGCAAAACAATTTGAAGAAGCCACTAAACCAATAACAGTTAAAGGGACAGAGTGATGTGCAAGGTTTTCCTCTTAATAAAGTCTTCACATATTGCTAAGATTCTTTTTGTAGTTGTGATAAAGTTTGCTTGTGATCACTCCAAAACATAAAATGCTAAGGAAATTTACACAAACTAATTGGACTCCTATCTTAATTTGACATCGTTCTCCATCTTATCAGTCACTAGTATGTTATCCATACATAAGACACAAACTT